AATTACTGACGAGAGTCAGCTGCACAAAAGGGAAAAGGTGGCACCTCAGGCAGAAGAGGTAGTGGGACACGCCCACACAGGCACCTTCAGGAGGCCGCCCTGCTAGGGCCGTAACACCCCCTCCCATAAATACAAACCCGTGGTTTGTCACATGATTATGATAACCAGAACAACTAATCAAGTCCATAACCGTCGCATCAACAAATTGCAGGCTTTCCACCTACCAAACCCCATGGCAATGGTTAGGCATTGCCTGCGGAAGCTACCAACCCCATCTCAATGGGCTCAAAATACTGAGGGTGGCCACAGGCCCTCAAAACAATGGCATGTGCTAGCCAGGGCTTTTTTGAGCCATCACATGTGGAGAACACAGCAGGCAGTCAGAAGACCTTACTGTAACAGTTTTCAGACGATTGCTCAGGTCACGGGTACAGGCATGTTTGATAGTAAGGGGTGCAGGTCTGAGTGGTGGTGTTATACATGATCTGTCCACCTGCAGGTCATTTTGAGGAACTGGGACATTGTCAACCAGCAGCAGCTCAGGGCTAGTTGACCTCTTACACTGACTACAGGGTGCTACTGAGCAATTTTGCGCCAAGTTTAGCCTTTAGTAGGCCTGGCAACCTTGTCGGTTTGAGAGCCACGACTGACTTTTCTCAAAGCAGGCCCTTTTTGCTTTGAGTGGGCTTTCTGTTTGCGTTTCAACTTCAAACAGTTAGCAACAAGGTGTCCAGGTTTGTGGCAGAAGAAACAAAGCTTTGTTTCGGGTCTCGAAACCACAACTTTTCCAGCCTGGTTAGCTGGCCCACTCTTACCTCTCCAAGATGTACTATGGCACAGAGGGGTATCACATTCTACAGCATTTATTTTATGACTTAGGGTGAACTCATCTGCCAGTGTGGCAGCCTGCTGTAGTGTGAAAACCCTTTGTTCACTTAAATAACAAGCAACACAGTCAGGCACTGTGTTCTTAAAGTCCTCTACCAGCACAAGCTCACGTAACGACCCCAAGTCGTCAACCTGGCTTGCAGAGCACCACCTATCAGAAAGCTTCGCCTTGTCCCTAGCGAAGTGAAGATAGGACTGACCCTGTGCCAACTCCAAACCTCGAAAATGCTGCCTATAGGCCGCAGGTACAAGTTCATAGGCTTGGAGGACGGCACTTTTGATCTTTTCATAGGCGTCCTGCCTAGACAGACCAGAACAAGCTTCCTGAGCCTTACCCGTGAATTTACACAGCAACATCACCCCCCACACGTCTTCAGGCCACTGTAATGCAGTTGCTATGCTTTCAAACACACTGAAGAAGCTCTCAACACTGGATTCACAGAAAACGGGAACCAGGTGGATGTTATTGCCCACAAACAAGCTTCTAGACACCTGTGCATTGATAGCTGCATCATCCATTTTGGGGGCCGGAGAAGGGTTAGAAAACACACCCTAATTAAGACACAACCACACCTCTGCCAACTCACTCAGAGACTACCCAATAATTAACCCATTAATGGAAAACTACACAACTTACTTTAACTGACCAACTTACCTCTTGCAGTATACACATTAAACAAACACAACTTACGCAGTTCCTAAGCACAACAAACTTTACCTACCTATCTTCTGAAGCGTGCCGGGCTCGAGGCAACTTGAAAGGCGAAACTTCAGCGACTGGAGCCCTGAATTGCCTACCCCCAACAGGGAACTAATCCCTGCCCAGGATTACCCCAAAAATAATAAAGGCAAAATAACAAAAGAGTGCCCAAAGGAAGAACTTAAAACTAAGCTCAGCTGGACACTCACCTAACTTAACTGGGAAGTTGTAGTTCTCAAAAAGGTGACAAAGCAAGATAATCAAATCCAACTTGAAGCTCCCTTTTCAAATATCCTGGACGAGCCCCCACTTGTTACTTTCCCCTGAGGGGTCTAGGCAGTGAGGGGGAAGTAACAAAAAGTGTCCAGGTCAGAAAAAGGAGTCAAGGAGGCAAAAGGGTTAAATTAAAGAGTTTTATTAAAGTAGCTCAACTAAAAGAGACAAAAAAGCCGCTATCACCATTTACGAAAAACAAAACTCAGGCGTTGGTCAATAAAGTAAAACGTAAGTCAAAAAGAGAGAGCAGCTCACTAGACACAAGCCCAGACACACAGCTCACTAGCTGTAACCACTCACATGGCACTCTGGCCAGAGCTCACCTTTCCCTGGGCTTAAATCTCTTTAATTACTGACGAGAGTCAGCTGCACAAAAGGGAAAAGGTGGCACCTCAGGCAGAAGAGGTAGTGGGACACGCCCACACAGGCACCTTCAGGAGGACGCCCTGCTAGGGCCGTAACAGGGCCAAAGGGAGGAGTCAAGGCCACCGGATGCAGGCCTAGCTATATGCTTCATCAAAAAGAAAAGTTTTAAGTCCAATCTTAAAAGTAGAGAGGGTGTCTGTCTCCCAAATCCAAAGTGGGAGCTGAAGAAAGCCTGGTCTGAATCATCTTTTTTTCCCCCAAACAATCAACAAATATGTTACAATTAAGTACATTAATTTATTATTTCATTATCAAATTGATATTGACTTCAATCTAGCTTGTTCTGCTGATTCTCTGTGGTCTGCCACTGTGTATGCAATAATACATGCTTACCACTAGATGACAACAGTTTCCTAGTTGCTTGACTTTAATTATCTTTCCCAGAAGCATTACAGTAATCTTGAATGGAAATGTGATTGAAAGAGCTAGGGGAAAAAAGCTCCCACAGCATCCATTTGTAACCCGTCAACATTCACTTGCATGTGGTTGAAGAACCTGCAATCAAATTAAAAGGAAATGTGGCACAGTCACTGGGAACATTTTTCACTCTATTAATCATAGACTCATCACAGGTAATCACTAACATTGCATCCAACTGTGCTTGCACAGCTTTATTCATCATTACAATCTCAACAAGCTGTGTGTAAACAAACTCAACATGATTGGTGGCACATGACTAAACCTTTGCGCCTGTCTTTTAGAGAGCTGGAGGGATCAGACCTGTTACCCGGACAGACAAAAGCTGCCAATCTGCTGCACGCTGTGTTGATGGTGGCCACATGCGTCGTTTGGAGAGTTGCATACTTCTTCAGCCCCTGAAACCCACCTTCGTTTGCAGGTTTGTGCTGGTTTGTGATCCAGTTTCAGTAGCTTATGTTGTGAAACTTGAAGAATGTCATTGTTTCTGTTGTTTCTGTCTAAAGCAACAAGCTGTTGATGTTTCTAAGAAGATTAAGTGTTGCAGTACTAAGAACTACAAGCTGGTAGAACACTAACAACAACAAAGACTTTTTTTTAACTTACAGCACGTTTCTTTACACAGGGAAAACATTATGTCTTAGACTTATATACTTTTTTGATCATTTTGATCAATTAACAAAATAGTAGAAGTTGCTCACAGTCCATATATGTTGTTGTCCACTGCACTTAAAATTTTTTGCATTTAATACATGTTGTTATTTTCTAGTTCATACTGCTAAAGCAGTTTTTGCCAAGGGGTAGGTAGGGCTGCTAACCTAGAAACTTAGTGGGACAGCTTTCAAGAAGAAGTAGCCTCGTAGTTGATGGTTCAGGGTTTAGAAATAGTCCTAATCTTCCTCACACCTGCCAGGGCCGTGCCAAGCCATAAATACGGGGATCATAAGAGGATCAACCTGGTGTCGGTGTGAAGGATCCTGCTGGATAGTGATCCTGGCACAGGCAAAGATTTTAAAGTACCTACTTAAGAAATACACAGAGGGGTGACAACAGTAGTGAAAGGACCTGTTTCTCTATAAAAATCGAGTAAAGATGTTTTGTTTTTGTTTTCTTTTTTTTCCTAATGTGATGGATAAAATGTGCCGGGAAGGAATAAATCAGAATCTGTTTTTCTGTCATCAGAAAATGAGGCTCTTTTGAGAGAGAAGCTGCTTAAAGACAAACAATTTTTTAGTTCTGATCTGTTTTTTGTTTTGTTTTTTCTCATGTTTTGATTAGCGCTTTGGACACTGTCCACTCAATAAAAACTAATGACAACAAGCAGGTGGCAGAAGTCTAAACTGCATTTCAAATTTAGCTAGAAACCACTAGAAATGTAACACATTTCCCATTTATGTGAATTGACTTAGCAGTTATTCTATATTTTCCTGGCATCAGAAGTCTGGGACTGCCTTAGAGCAGTGTGGGTTCCCAATAAAACTGTCACTTGTGAACAAGGTATCCCTCCCTTCAGGGTATAAAAGTGTAACTTACCTGGGGCAGGAGATGTTTTGTAGTACGAAGCAGCTGAAGAAGTGTAAGGCAGTTAAATGGCAATTTGCACAATGTTTGGGTGCTTTTCTATAAAATGAGACTGGCCTTTTTTTGTGTGCGTGTACCCTAAAGCAGCGGTCCCCAACCCCCGGGCCTTGGACCGGTATCGGTCCGTGAGTCGTTTGGTACCGGGCCGCGAGAGTTGAGGCTCAGGTGTGAAATGTATGGTTTTCAGGGTTTTTATCGGTTTTCAGCGTTATTTTGTTATCGTTTGTATCGTTTACTTGGTTTTCCTGGGTCTTTTCACGTGTGTTATGAATAAATTTTCTTTTTTTCGGTAGCGGTACTAGTTTTATTTTGTTGTACTTATCCGCGACACGTTAAAGGCTGGTCCATGAAAATATTGTCAGGCATAAACCGGTCTGTGGCGCAAAAAAGGTTGGAGACTGCTGCCCTAAAGCGTTAGCGCAGAATACTAATCTGTCTCCTTCCACAGGATCTCTGCTGCATTCACTGCGGTGCTGATGTCTCATCGGTTTTGATATGGAGGCCCAACAGAGACCTTGCTGTTTCAGCCACAACAAATACGGTACCGTGCTACCATACCTGCTGGTGTTGGAGCTATAAAAATCAGCACTTCTGACATGTCGACTTCCTGGCAGCTCACCCCTAAAACGGACTCCGTTCCCTCTTTTGAAAGGACATACATTTTTACCCAGTGAACAGGACTGATTTGAACAACATATGCTTCATTTGGCATCAGTCATGTTTTAATTACATTTGGGGAATTGAGAGTGGAGACATTTGAATGCCTTACTGAGACCCCAAAACTGTAACAAAAAAAAGAACTCGATTGATGTTTGTATGTGTGTGTGTGAGGGTGCAGCGCAGCCTTGGATCCGCAGTGGAACCACAGTCCGCCCGGGCGCCCAGCCTTCGGGCCGGAGACGCTCCATACCAGCAACTACTCTCTGGTGTTACTGATCCAGCTCAGCCTGCTCTCCTTTGACCTGTTTGTCAACTCCTTCAGTGAGCTGCTGAGGACTGAGCCAGCTGTGCAGCTGGTACTTTTCATGTACGTCAAACTTTTTCACTGTTTCAGCCTAACGCAGCCTCTAGCTCAAGGGGGGGGAAATAATTCTCAATTTATCTGCACTGAATCTTTTGAAATGCTGAAGTAAAATGTATTTTAGACAAGACAATAATTCTGCCGACAAGCTCTTCCTGTTTTCATCATTGTTTTTTCTGCTGCTTATACTGTTTCCTTTTCTTCAACAGAATCCAGGACATTGCCATCCTGTTTAACCTGATCATCATTCTGTTGATGCTGTTCAACACCTATGTGTTCCAGGTTGGACTGGTTGCCATATTGCTGGAGCGGTTTAGAACCATGCTAATGCTATCTGCTCTTTACTTGACCTTCAGCATCATTCTCCATTCTTGGCTTATGGTACGTCGTTAAAAACAAAGGCGAAAATGCCGGATTGGAAAATTCACATTTTTATGCCACTTTTTTGGGGAGATACTGTACAACAAGCTTACAGACATTTAAAATGCTGTCATTTTGATTTTAATAACTGCCAAGAGAAAAACATCATGAGAAAGAAAAAAAGAAAGAAGATAAAACTTGGTTAAAATGTGTCATTATATGAGACTGAGAAAATAGCATCATCATTTCTCATCATTCTGGTTGTAATTGTTAAATTATCTATAATGTACAAAGTCTCTGAATTTATCACAAAGTGGCCTTTTTGTCATCCTTCTATTCCTTTCAGAATCTGCGCTGGTTAAATACAAACAGATTTATTTGGACCGACGGTCTTCAGGTGCTTTTTGTGTTCCAAAGAGCTGGTAAGATAACAAGTTCATGCAACAAATGTACCTCTTTTCATTTAGAATGTTTTCATGTAAACACTGAAGAGTATACAGTACAAAAGGTTAGGATTTTTCCACTCTATAATCTGATTATACATATTAACTTGTAAAATAAATGTTTACATTTTGACTGAATAATTAAATTTAGATTTTGCAAATGAGACAGGAGAAAATACATGGAGACAATACAAGCAGGTGAAGCAGTCCAAAACAGCAGTACAGATTTAAGCTAAAAAAACAACAACAACAACCCATTAATGCCCTAGTAAACTGTATGATCATTTCACCCACCTTTTTTATTTTTCCTTTACCTGTCGCCTGTTGTTACTGGCTACTCTTCCAGGCAGTGACATCACATCTCATCACCATGTGGGTGCCACTTTTATACATGTATAAGCTCATAAGTGGATAAAAGCTTGCATCGCCTAGCTGGCATTACTCTCTGTAGGTGATCTGCGTATGAGAAGAGTCATGTGCTATTTGTTGTCTTTGCTTTGTCTGCCACTTAAGACCTGTCCAGACAGTTACTCAGTGTGTAAGCACAGCCATTACCTCACTCAGTTTTAAACACTGGTGGGAATTTTCAAGTTTTCTCCCTGTTTATTTTGCAATCACATAAATCTCTTGAATAACCTTGATCACTGTGCAAACTCATTACAAAAGAGTCACTGATATGAAAATCTACATTCACATCAGTCATGTTTCTAATTTACAGACATTTGTAAATTAAATATCCGTATATTTTAAAGCCTCCTAACATAATTTCCTGTTTGCAGCTTCTGTGCTGTACTACTACTTCTACAAGAGGACCTCAGAGTATCTGGGTGACCCTCGCCTCTATGAGGATTCGCCGTGGCTGAGAGATATGTTTTCACGGGTCAGACAATGATCTCTCTGCAATAGATCACACCAACACTCAGATGCCTAGTTTAAAAACGGCATTAAAAGAATATCAAAATACAGTATGTTACAAAGAAAACCCAAAACAAAGAACTGGTCACTGTAATCCATTTGGTTTTAAAGGAAATTTATTCAGGGCCCATTCTAACACATCCTTCGTGAACTATTTGACAAGCTCAAAATAATATTTCACAACATTTCCTTTCAACACAGAGAGGATTGTGCCAAAATTTAGAAAGGTGTCTTAGAACAAAAACACCACAAAGTGTCATGAGGGCTTGTTTTCCTGCATAAATGATAACAAAAGAATGACATCAAATGTGAAATAGTAAATGTTTTATATCCTGCTGGTACCAGTCACCATATAGCCTCTTTTCTTTGTTTTTGTATTTAAACAAAAAAAACAAAAACACTATATTGCAATTGTTTTATATAGATTTGAGATTATGGTGTTGCTTTAACTGTGTTTGTTATGTTGATATTGATCAGAGCTTAACTTTTATGGCTCAACCGGTTACTTATCCTCACTGTCTGTGAAATCTAAGTCATCATGTACATCTGAACTCTCTGTATTTAATTTTCATACACTACACATGCTGAAAACCCAATAAAATGTTGTTTCAAATACTGGTCATTGAGATATAATGTGTACATACTTGGACATATGATTTATTCTTTTGCTTCAGTGCTTCTTTCAAAGCATGACTCCAGATGATGGAAGCGAAGCTGATTCTTCAACTTTTCAAACTCTTTGTGGAGTGACTCCATCTGTAGGTTGAACTGTGGATACCGAGAAAACAGAAAATGTTTTTTCTTTTTTAAAGAAACCAGCATCTTAATGTAAAATTCACCTTGGATAAGAGGATGCAATATTTAGTAAAAACTGATTCACTGTGACAAAATAAAGGATCACAGGGCTCTAATGTAATTTACGAGAAAATCAAGGACAGCAGGAAATCTATATCCTTAGTAATCAAATGCTACAGAGAACTCACAGAGAAGCTGTTTGTGTTGTTTTATATTCAGTATTAATGTTGCATGTCTACTTTTTCTTTTAAAAAAATCACTACTTAATATAGAATTTAAAACATGGATAATTAATAGTAAATCACTAACCGCCCCACTGATATGTTAAATTACAGTGACTGACAAAAACAACAACCAAACTCACCCGTATTGCATATTTATAAAACTTCTCTGCTTCTTCCTTTTTGCCAGACTGAAAATAAAAGGTTCATCAGTGTTAATTGAGTTGCAGACCATGTGTTTAGTTATGTAAGTAAGTAAAGTTTGTTTGTATACTCCTTTTCAAGACAAGTGCTTTACACAAATATTAAAAATACAGTCAAACAAACACACCTGAATCAAGAAAAACAACACAAAACAAAAATTTTACCAAATTGCTGGTCTGAATAGATGCATTTAGGCATTTTTTTTAAAGGATGCCAGAGTCATTGGTGTGCAGCAAAAGCGATAAGCTGTTCCACAGTTTTGGCACTAAAGTCTGGAAAGCAAAATCCTTCTTAGTTTTCATACGGGCATGTGGAATCACAAGGAGACCTTTATTAGACAAGATTGAAAAGATTGATGATATAACTAGGGGGCCTCATCTTGTAAGGTCACAGAAGTAAGAATCAAGATTTTGAACTATCTAACAATGAGTGAACTTATGAGTTTGAGTTAAAAGTGTTGAAGCAGCATTATGGACAGATTGGAAGCAATTAATAGATGCTTTAAACGGACACAAAAACAAAGCATTGCAATAGTCTAGGCAGGTGGAGATAAAGGCATCAACGTGCATCTTCAGTAGTGGGCAGCTACCAATCCAGCACCCGGGAAGCAGTGTGTAGAGACAGTACCTTGCCCAAGGTACTTCAGGGTTGCCATTCGGTGGATTTGAACCCCTGACCGCCTCCAATCACGGGGCGAACACTCTACCTACTGAGCTATCGCTGCCCCATAACAAGGGACTTAAACCAGATCCTTGCAGAATGCCACATGGAAATGCAGCCGTTTCAAACCCAAAATTTCCCAATGAGGACAAAAGTGTTCTATAAGCAAGAAATGAAGTGACCCACTCTAAGAAAGAGCCAGAGATCCCTACCATGTAGTTTAACTGTTGGACTAAGATTTGATGGAGATTTGACATTTCAAAGGCTGAGATAAGGTCAGGCAAACCAAGGGCTGGCTGAGCAATCACCCTTATCCGCAGCCATCCAAAGATCGAAACTTTAAGGAGAGCTGTGGAGTGCAACTTCCTAAAACCAGACTGAACGTTAGCAAGAATATTGTGCTTCTCCAACACCTTCGTGTCCCAACCACCTTTTCTTTTTGTTTTTGTAATACTTTAGCAATTTAGGAAGTTTTGAAACAGGTCTATAGCTGGTGTTTAGTGTAAGGTCCAGATTTAGCTTTTTCAAACCTGGTTGGATAACCACCTGTTTAAAGAACTCTAGGACACAGCCTGACCACAGAGGGCCAAATGGAGTCTAAAACTTAAGACATTGGCTGAGTTTGCTGAGGGTTTAATTTGGAGTAGTGTTTGACATACATAGCTAAAGAAAGTGGGTGAAAAGATTCTACAATTTTGGGATGTGTGAGAGTTTATGATCGAAAGGGCGATCTGTGGGAGTTGTAGTCCTTATCTGAAAAACCTGGTGTACTTGGTGTTGGAGGAGAAACAATGTTATTCTCAGTGTCAAATAAAACCTTGGCATTCCCTTTTCCTATTGTAAATAGGACATTTTGTGGTTTTCCCACAGGTACTCAGTCTTAAGGCAAAGCCAACTAAAACTGCAAATAGATTTAGTGATCCAAGGAGATGATTTAGCGATGCTGTCTTTTCTAATTTGTGGAGGTGCCACTTTGTCCAGTATCTTTAAACACCGCGAATCGAAGGAAGCAGAACTCAGTTCCATGTCATGAGTCACAATCAGACTACTGATTTCTGCAGATTTTTGAATCACAGAGTCAGTAATATGTTGTGAGTACTTCACATGTGCAGAAGACAAGGTGTCAAGGTTAAAAGAGAGCTCAATTAAAATACAGTTAGTCACTAATATTAATTGATACTAATCAAAATGTCCTACTTCAAAGTCTGCATTCCTGAATTGATTTTAGCCATTTATCATATTGATCGACATGCAGCGTCTACTTGCACAAGCATTTTCCCAAATTAATTGGTGTCTCATTAAAGTGTGTTCAGTGACTAAAGCATTGGCTTTACCAAAGGGCAAAAGGATGGATGTTGGCGTTAGATTCTATGGAGGTTAGGGCTTTTTACTCTGAACCCATCCCTCATCCTGAAGAGTCATTTATTCCAAAGCTTAAACTGACTCAATTCTTACCATAACCCTAACCACTCAGCTCTTCTGACTCCTGTAGATTGTTTTTTAATTTCTAACAAAGACACGCTGTTCTGTAGTCTTCATAAAAGGGGATGTGTCAGGCCACTGTGCGCGAGATTATCTTGAAATACAGACGGAGGACATTAATAATGACATTAATAGTGTTTTATCATCACTCACCTTGAGGCAAATGAGAGACAGGTAAGCCCAGACCTCTGCATTCTGGTTGTCCAAATGGTTGGCCTCAGTCAAAGCTTCCTCAGCTGTACAAAACTCCTCCAACTAAACAGACACAGAAATGCCCACTGAAACAACAAAGGGTGACTTCCTTTCAAAACAAACAGAGTAGGGCTCCCAACTATTCTTTTAAGCTAGTATTTCAAAAGTATTTCTTTTAACAATAGAAACAGGAGTGTACTTAAAACCTTGAACCATACACTGAGTGGAATCACAGGTTTTACAATTTTATTTTATTTTCCATATAACAAAAATAATTCTGAAGGCACAACATAGAAGCTTTTTTTGAGTTTAATACGATCATTCCCATCAATGTTCTGAAGGTAAGAGTTTTACCCGGTAACATGCACCGCCCAGGCCTAGCCAGGTCAGGCAGGATGGAGACTGTTCACAGGCCTGCAGGTACACAACCTTGGCTTCCTGAAACTGAGAGTTAAAAAAAATAAGACAGAGTTACACTGTATAACTTTGTGGTTTCACATGAGATGTTTTAAGTCACATTTGAGTTTTGCTGTTATTTTCCAAGACATATGGCTGGTCCATTTTGTTTCTTTCTTGAAAAATGCATGAGGTAAACTCTCACACAGTGAATAGATGCTAGCAGACCCAGTACACATGAGTAACTGTCTGACTGATCAGACAGTGATGCCTGTCTCAATATCTGACCTTCTCCTGCATAAAGTAGCTGGATCCCAGGCGGAGCAAGACAATGTGAGAGTCTGATGGCTTCTGCTGGAATTTGAAGCTCCACTCGTAGCTCTCCTCAGCCTCATGGAACTCCCCTCGTAGATAGTGACAGTGACCATTCCAAGCCCATGCATCAGGATCCTGGTGAGAAAGTGGGCAAGACTCTTTGGGTCAATAGTCAGCAAAGTTGCTTGATGAATGCTTCTTCTAGACACATTTCTCAGTCTGGATGAAACTTATTATATAAACTGCCCAGGGTTCCAGGATTAGAAACGTCAATGTTCACGTGAAAGACCACCTTATAAAGTGCTTCCAGCTGAAATGATGAGGGACAAAATTCATGCTGCTTGTTATGTGAAAAATCCGAAAGCTGCGGCTGAATTAGACAAACACAGTGAAAATCTTATGAAGTGTCAGTGTTCCCCTATGTGTTGACACAGACTGTGTGCACACAAAAGACAAAAGAAAATAGTGTTGTCAAAAATGACAATAGTGTTCCTATTTTTCTTATTTGTGTGTTGTAAACTTTATGAAAGAACTAAAAAAACCAGCACTTAATCTTTTGAGTTTGGTATATGGCGGGGCGCAGTGGACACCCAAGTTTGTAAATGCAATAACTCAAGTACGAGGCAACGTAGAATTTTCAAATCAATACCATGGTTGCATCTGCTGAAAATCTCTTTAAGGTTTAAATCTCAGGGATCTTGACTTCAAGGTCAGAGCTCAACTTTTCTAAAAAAAAAAAAAATTAGAGGATTTTCACATTTATAACACAGGCATGTCTACTAGGAGGCTACAGGGTAGCACTATGTTTAAAAAGAATTACAAACAAAAATTAGCTGATGCTTAAAGCTGGTTTATTTAATATACATCCAATTTTTTTTTCCAATTTGTATCGAATTAGGTCCAGGGTGGAAAAGTTATGCGATGGTTTGCATCCAAGGCAAACACTTTTTTAATTAGGCTGACAAATAAATGTTGGTCATTTTGAGGTCCTGTGGTAGCTTCCATTAGTTGTTCAAGACAACTACGTCTCATATGAAATAGTAATTAGTGTACAAGCCGGAGTCTAGAACATGATCTAGTGGCTGACCCTGCATGTCTATGATGAATTTCAAAACATCATATTCATTTTCCACAGGGTAGAGTGGCACCCCTGTAGCAAGCTCCACAGTTACCAGCCCCAGAGACCACATGTCTATTGCTTCATTATATGTATTACCAAGCATAACCTCAGGTGCACTATAACCAACTGTCCCCACACAGTCACCAGGAGTCACTGTAGATGCCGGCTGTGTGTGTACAGCAACCATGTGTGAAAAGTCGTCAATAAAGAGATGCTGAAAAACA